ATCATTGGGCCCCTGGACTCAGTGCATCCAAGGAACAGAAAGAAGGTCAGCATGGTTGGACCACAGTGAATCTGGATCACAAGGCATCCTGGGAAGGTGGGGAAGTGGGCAGGAACTACAGCAAGTAGCAACTTGTAGGGTAAGAAGTACAGATTGCTTCTAAGTGCAATAGGAAACTGCTTGAGGATTTTAAGGAAGGGAATGGATGGTCCAGTTTATATCTTAATAAAATCACTCCAGAGGCTCCAGCATACATAAGTACAAGCCAGAGACCAGGTGGGAGGTGAGGGCAGAAATCCAGGCTTCAGATGAGCCTGGCTAGGACTAAGATGGTAGTTGGGCATGACATAGATTCCTTCCAAGTATAATTTAGAGGTAAATGCAGAATTTGGTGACAGGTTTTAAGGGGAAAGAGAGGGAAAGGAAGAATAACCAAGGATGATATAACCCAGAAGAAAGCACACTGCAATGATTCTCGTGGTTGTGTACCTACTGTGGATGGGGCACCACTGGGCCCATAAACCCCGCATCACTCTGAAAGGGCAGCTCTCTCACAATCCCCACCTAGATGAAAACACTAACCCTCAGATTAAGTAACTAGTCCAAGCCAATAGGACTTGGTGTCTGCAGTGCCATTCAAATTCACAGGATCTCACAGTGGGCCCCTGTTCCAGTGGAAACTAGAGTTACACGGCCCGCAGGATGCCCTTGTGGGGACCCCTATTACCTAGCTGGCAACCTAGTGATCTCTCCCCAGCACCATGCTGGGAAACCCAATGGCAGGTGTCACATGCAATGTGTTTTACATCAGTTTCCCAGGCTTATTTCAGCTCTGTGATCTCACACACTCTCTGATGTGATGGGATGTGACAGGGCCAACCAAGGAGGCCTTCCCAGCAGCAGAGGATGCTGGCAGGTGTTTTGATCATCATTATTATTACTAGTTTAAGAGCTTTCCATTGTGAGCCACTTCTAATTTCTAAGCCAAGTGGTCATTGACAGTGGTGAACCCACTGGGTAGGGTGGTATAAGGGAATCAGCAGGAGTGATGAGCTAGGAAAACCAGAACCACAGTCCAGGCTGTCCCACTTGGGAGGTGTCAGGCCTTGCATATGTCTCCTAACTCTCTATGTCTCCAGTTTCCTCTTCTCTTAAGTGTAGGTAATGGGGCCAGCACTGTGGCATAGCAGGTAAAGCTGCTGCCTGCAACACCAGCATTCCATATAGGTGCCACTTCATTTCCAGGCTGTTCCATACACCTGGGAAAGCAGCAGAAGACTGCCCAAGTGCTTGGGGCCCCTGCCACCCATGTGGGTGACCCAGAGGAAGCTCCTGGCTTCAGCCCAGCCCAGCTCTGTCTGGGTGGCCTTCTGGGAAGGGAACCAGCAGAGGAAGGATCTCTCTCTCCCTCCCTCCCTCCCTCTCTCCCGCTCTCTCTCCTGTCTCTTTCCTCTCTCCTCTCACTCTGTATCTCCCTCTCTCTGTGTAACTTTCAATAAATAAATCTTTAAAAATAAATAAATAAAAATGTGGGTAACAAAACCACCACTTCCTAGGGCTATTTGAGGATGATGTGGGTGATCCGTGCACATGAAAATTACTCAATAAAACCCCATCATCATCATCACCATCAGCACTTAAAAAAATATAAACCTGCTGTCTTTCGTTCCAACTCTCTCTGCTCTTAGGAGAGTTGCAGGACTCTTTTTGAAGGCCTGTGAGTTCTGAATTCAAAGAATTCTGAAAAAAAAAAATCCTCCAATGCTGTGGCAAGAAGAGAAGTGGTCAGTGCAAAATTCTTAGCTTCACCTTAAGCTCATGATATTGATCTCTGGAATAACAGACAAATGAACTGTTAACCAGAAAGCAGAGGTTCTACCTTTATAGTCCTGTGAAAGGGAAGTAATCACAATGTTAGGGCTTCAAAGTTGGAGAGGCCTCCCTTTTACAAAGAGGAACCAAATGAAACTCCAGCAATGGAGCTTTATGTGCCTCCTCTGTGAAACTGGGGTAATACCTTCCTCCTAAGGGTGTTGTGAAGATTAAGTAAAATAACTCACATGAGGGACCAGTGTTGCAGTGCAGCAGATTAAAATGCTGTGTGCAACACCGGCATCCCCTATCAGAGAACACCGTGGCCCAAGCACTTGGGCCCTGCCACACACGTGGGACACCCGGATGGAGTTCCAGGCTCCTGGCTTAGGTTTTGCCCAGTTCTGGCCTTTGTAGACATTTGGGGAGTGAACCAGCAGATGGAAGATCTCTCTCTCTCTCTCTCTCTCCTTCTCTCTGCCTTTCAAATAAATAAATAAATCTTTTAAAGAAAGCTCTCTTGAAATGCTCAATAAATGTCACTTTCTCTCTGTTGGTGCCCATCCCCAGCTCTGAGCACACCTTCACTCTTCAAGCATTTGGTACAGGGAAGAACAAGCCATGATAATCTGGGGGTTTCTATTGGCCCAGCAGAGGTTAAAGTGGCCTGTTCTGGAATACCATCGAAGCTAGCTCCCCAAAAGCTGTGCATATCTCATGAACATAACGTATGTTGAGAACTGTCAAAACAAGAGACAAACCAGAACTCATGAGATACCCTCTGTCTCCTGCCTACTGCTGAAGACCCTGTACTCTTTCATTGTAGACTTGCATAGCTGTAACATTCCTTTGGTTTCCATGAGCTTTTGCACACCCTACCTGATCTACTAACCTCCACCGTCCTGGGGTGGGCAAGGCAGATGCTGCAAGTCTGCGTCACAGATGAGGAAAGCAAGACACAGAAAGGCTCAGTGATTTAACGAAGGTCACACAGCAAGTAAATTAGCCCTGACACAGACACAGGTTTCCCGGCTTCAGGTCTACTAATTTCAGTGCCCATCTCATAAATTATGTTTCAGGACAGCTCTCATTCTTCTTTTAGGAGTTATAGGCTGTGCCACTGGGCTTGGAGGGTGCAGTCTCTTAGATTCTTGCAGGTGCCCGTGGAAGTGACAACAATGAAAATGATCACACTAAGCTGAGATCATGGCCAAGTGCATGCTGGCTGCGCCTTCTGTTTTGAACATGACATTGTGTTTCTACCTTTTATTTTTCTTGTTTCCTTTGCTACTTATTTAGTTTTCTAAACACTGCTGCTTCAAGAGGTCCCTTGGATGTGCACCTGAATTTCCATCCCCTAGAGCTTGCTGGAAATGCAGGCGCTCAGGCTCCACCACAGTGCTTCCAAATCTGAATCTGCAGTTTAACACGATTCCTGGGTGGTTCATATATACACTAATGCTTAATAAAGCACTGTTCTCACAAACTCAAAATGTACTGAATAAACAAGTAGTCAATTCAGAGTGTGGGATGCTGATAAAGTATCTGTACTGGTAGTTAGGATTCAATTACTGAGTTATTCCAATCATTAATTTCCTGTTCATTAATTTTGCCAGCACTTAATAAGGCTGCCTAAGGGCCAGCATTGTGGTGCACTGAGTTAAGCCATTGCTTGCGCCAATGGAACCTCATATCAGAGTGCCAGTTCCAGTGCTGGCTACACTGCTTCCCGTCCAGCTCCCTAATAATGTGCCTGGAAAGGCAGCAGATGATGGCCCAAGTGCTTGGGGCCCTGCCACCTATGTGGGAGACCTGGATGGAGTTGTTAGTTCCTGGCTTTGCCCTGGCCCAGCCCTGGCGCTTGCAGACATTTCAGGAGTGAACCAGTGGATGGAAGCGCTTGCTCGCTCTCTCTCTTTCTCCCCCTCTCTCTGTCAACTCTGCCTTTCAAATAAATAAATCAATAAATCTTAAAGGGGGAGAGGGTAACTGGGCATAGAATAGGCTCTAAACAAATATTTATAGGCCTAATTGATGATGAATTATTCAATAAATCAATCTTTCTGTAAGGTCTATCCATCTCCCTTCACTCCTACTATGCCTCCCTTCTGGTGAATGAAATGAATTTGCACATGGACATATTAAAGGACTTAGTGCCCAGCACATAGTTAGTGCTCAACAAGTATCAAATATTAGTGTTATTAATAGGCTGTTGGAGGTGGCTGCATTTATGAGGGACCACGCTGGCTTTGAGGAATAGGGAACACAGGCCAGTTTGGAGTTGTGTGGGAATGCCACTTGGTTAAAGGAATACAGCCTTATCTCAAGGAACAGACCCTCTGAAGTATACTTAGCAATGCACAGAAAAATTATTCCAGTGGATTCCAGGGAAATGATTAAGTGTCCAGGAGAGGTGGGCTGACAGATTATCAGTGTTGGTATGTAAACTATGTTTGGCATAGTAGCGAAAGGCAAAGTACTTCCTCCTATCCGTATCTGCCTCTTGTCTTCCTTCTGATATGAAGATAAGAGACCCTGGGGTAATGAATCATGGTGGGAGAGAATGGCATGATGGACAGGTCTACTCGATCCAGCCAGCCAGCCACTTCTGGTTCAAAGGCAGTCGTCCATGTTAATGAGCCTTCACTTGCTAACCACTTTTCCTCCCTGCTGCCTTGTTCGTTCCCACTGCACCGACTCTGCTATTGCCATTAATCCACATCTATAACAAGAGGCTTTCCTGCTCTTTTCTACTCCTCCCGTAAACACCAGCACAAAACCATGGCAACTCCCATCACCGATGCTTCAAGCTCGGGGTCTTTCCTTCCCTACTCATTGGCAGCTAGATGTTATTATGCTATTTTATTTTTTCCATTTAATTTCCCAAGTTACACTGAAAAACCCACCAAGGCAGGGATTGTATGGTAGATTTCTTTGACCTCTCCCATAATGCCTGTGCCCTTGCACCAAACAGGTGCTCAGAGTTTATGGATCAACCCAGCTATTTTCACAGAGAAAGACTAGAGATTCCAAAGGACTTCCTGTCACTGTTAATAAAATAACTGCATTTCTATACCATTTCAGAGAGAAAATCAGCTTTCGGTGTTTTAAGCTACATTTATTCTACATTTGTGACTCTTAACATTCGGTGGTTCTAGATAGCTGAACCTTCTTAACTTTCTGCTTACCCCGACCACCGTTGGATCATAAGAAGGCAATCTTCAGGGCTGGTGCTGTGGCATAGCAGGTGGGGTTGCTACCTGCAGTGCCAGCACATCCCATATGGGCACCAGTTTGAGTCCCGGATGCTCCACTTCTGATCCAGCTCTCTGCTATGGCCTGTTAAAGAAGTAGAAGATGGCCCAAGTCCTTGGGCTCCTGCACCCATGTGGGAAACCCAGAAGAAGCTCCTGGCTCCTGTCTTCAGATTGGCCCAGCTCCGGCCATTGCAGCCATCTGGGGAGTGAACCAGAGGATGGAAGACCTCTCTCTCTCTCTCTCTCTCTCTCTCTCTGTCTCTGCCTCTCTGTAACTCTTTCAAATAAATAAATAAATAAATCTTTAAAAAAAAAAAAAAGAAGGCAATCTTCGAGGCAAGCTTGAAGTTACATATAGCTGTGCCTTGCTAATATTTAGTGAATATTCAATAAGTGCCAAGGATCGGTTCTGAATTCTTTAGGTGCAGTAATCATTATGACAACATGACGACGCTGGCATGGTTACGATCCCCAACTGAACAAAGAAAAAGGCTCTGGGAGAAGAATTTACTTAAGGTCACAGAGCTAGGAAGTATTGGGCCAATGGAACTGATCTTGTCTTCAAAAAAAATCACAGAGTTCTCCCATTACATTCTGCTGTCTTGGTTTAAGTTTTCTTTATCCTTCTGAAACACCGAAAAGGTAACCTAATCAATTGATATTGGGTTGTTGTCTTATGCAAAAAAGCCAACTCAATGAACACTGCTCATAGGAAAACTCTACCTTTAGGCCAATTCAGCTCAGGCCATAAAACATACTCTCTAGGTTGATTTTTGGCATAAAATGTCAAGGACAAAATAAATTTTTTGCTGATTAAAAGAAAAAAAAAACCTCTCAGTGGCGGCTATTAAATTTTACAGCCAAAGAAAGAAGGCATTCATCGGCATTGGCTCTTTTTGGTCCTTAATCATAATGCCTAAGCTCCTATTAGTTTTAGAAAAACAAAAAGTAATTTTTTCTCAATGTGTCAATATAATGCAGTCCTCCCCAGAACAATGCTAAATACAAATGAGGCACTTGAAGAAATGCTTGAAGAGAACCAGTTCTAGCCTTTGACCCCGTGCACTGAACCATCATTTCAAAGACATTTCAAAGCATTTTACTCTCGAGATACTCCTGCCCTTTATAGGAAGTGTCGGGTTTTTAAAAATCATCAAGATACGCATTATCAGTAGTTTATACTGACTTTTATTTCCTTAGCAAATTGATCTTTTTAAGATGATCTCTTCCTGCTGGTCACTGTCTCCTGGGGACAGCACCGTCCTGTCCTGACAGTGCACGGAGCCCCCCGGGCCAACGATGAAACCGTTCCACACGCTCAGCCTCATGCCTCACTACTTGTGTGGGCAGCACTTGGCCTTCTCTCTATTTACACAAACTCCCTAACGGTCTCTGGCACCACTGACGTCTCAGAGGGAGGCACAGTACACAGAGTGTTTCACGAGAAAATCTTTAAACAAAAGGAATTAAAGAAAATCCCTGTTTAATAGAAAGTTTTTACCAAGCTCCTAAATTCTCGAGAGCATGTGAAATATTAACTTTCCCCAAATGGGAGCACAGAGCCTGCCTTGTTTCCAGTCGTACTGTTGGGTCACTAACGCCCTAGAGAGCAGTATGACTGCTTCTGAGAAGATGTTCATACACAGTGGTTTAAAATAAACCACAGGGTCTGGACTCGGACAGACACGTGTTCAGATTCTGGTTTCTACACTGTCCAAGTCCCGGGCACCTAAGTATAAATTAGGGCTGAGGGCTCTAACTACTCCTTTGCTTTGTTGTGAGGCTGGTAAGAGTATAAGGTGGCAACTCAAGGATCTGATGCTGTTGGCGGGGAGGGAGGGTCACACGTTGACATGCAGTCAGCTTGCCCCCCCGGAGGGACAGAAAGCACAACACTGTGACCCTCGAACCCAGCTCCTAGAGCATATTCCTGGTGCAGTCACCCAAATCCAACCCACATCTGCCCGTGGTCCCGGGCAGGTGCCTGGGTGCCCAGTGAGGCAGAGCAGCCAGAGCAGCCACAAGGGGGCACTAAGCCAAACTCTCAGAGCCCTCCCTCTCCCCAGGGCTGGCTTTCTTTTCCCTCTGGGCCCCAGGACTAGGCTGGAGAGGGAGCGCTAAGGGATTCCCTCCCCTCCTGGAGTCACCACTCATCAGTCCCCCAAGCTCTCAGAAAGTCCCAAGGCAGCCACTGTGCTTGCTGCCACCACCGCGCCGGCCGAGGTCCTGCCACAATGCCCCTGCGGCTTTCCTCATAACATTTGCACCCCACCAGGAGCGGCTCTGTAATAGCCCCTCCACTTTCTGTGTGGCCAGCCACAGCCAATTCAGTGGCCAGGACTCTCCTCACGTGGTCTGTGACTCCCTCTACCACATGTCTCCATTTCCCTGGGCAGTCAGTCCTGACTTCACATCATCCATTCCTTTTGGATACGGTAAAGTTCTGATTGGGTCAGAAAATGGAACAGATTTTCTGATACTTTTGATATTTGGGACTAAGAATAAAGGATTAGTTAAATAGAATGGTAAAACACTAAGTGGATATTTAATCTTGTCCACATTATTGAGAAAGTCTTAATATTATTTTATAGAAAAGGAAAAAATTAGAAAATGTGTACATAAAAATCAGAAGTGAATTTTTTTGGTTGTAGGATTACTACATTTTTTTCTCTTTCTCTTCCTCTTGCTTATCTATATTTTCTAAATTATCTGTAATACATTCAATAATTCATTCACTGAACAAATACTTACTGAGTACCCATCAGGCACGTGCAAAATGCCAGGATCACCATGGAAAATGAAGTGGCTGTACCCTCCCATTGGCAGAAAGAGACATTCATCAAGAAATCACACAGATAATTCCAAACTGGCACAAAGGAAAAGGTAGGGGCATTGTAACCAATGTCACAGGTGACCCGATCTCCTGGGTGTGGGGCAGGTTCAGGTGAGCACCCCCCAGTGAGTGACAGACACGGCTGATTCGTGGAAAGACTTGAAGGGTGAAGGGGAAAGGAGGAGAAGAGCTTTTCAAGCAGAGGATGAGCAAAGGCCCTGAGGCTGACAGTGCACAGGAACAGCCCAGGAACCCAAAGCAACCTTGGGCAGCTACAGCTGAGTTTCTAATGAGAGAAGGAAAAAAAAAAAAAAAAAAAAAAAAAAAAAAAAAACCCAGGCAGGGGTTTGGGGGAGAAACTCAGGGTTTCCGTCTCCACCCTTCATGTAGGGGGACACTTTGAAGCATGACAGTCACATGCTGTCCTCCAGCACGAGCGAGCCTTCCTCCTGGCCAACCATCTCTCCTGCCTGCTCAGTGGGCAGCCAAGGGGTCCCTAGGGAAGGCCTGGTAGCAGCAGCACCGGCTGAGGGAAAGCAGGTGAGTTCCCTCCTTCCTTCAAGCTGCTCGGACACCCCTATTCTGCTGCGGGGGACTGGTTGGGAACAAGGTGTACAGTCCGTGCCCAGGCAGCGGCAAATCATACTGGCGCAATGCTCAAAACTCTGTTTTGTCGGAAAACCTGTAAGTAGCACTTGGGAGAGCAAATGGCAGGTGTATTTACATTAAACACGAAACTCATTCAAGCCTGTGTTTGTGAAGCGCTGGCCTCTTTTATTCCCAGCGTCAGCGGGGTTTTGTGGTCTGTTATCTCCTATTACCGTGTTATTAGGCTCCCCTTCCACCCCCCACCCCCCAATCCCTCCTTTCAGACTCTGGGCAAGTATGCACCACCAGGTCGCACCTTGCCCAGCCCTGCTGAGAGCTACAGGGCCCCCTGAATGCTCTTTTCATCCTCTTCCCTATCACAAGAGTTGCCAGATCGTTTTGCAGGCTTTGTTCAGGCAAAGAGGAAGGTTACAACAATCTACTTGGGCTGCCTTAGAAAAACAGGGTAGGAATTTTTATTTTCACTTCTAAGCTTTGGGAGCAGCTTGTCCTGGAGCCCCAAGGGTTAGGGCCAAAACAACTAGACCATCCTAGAGTGTCTGGCAGGGAAAAGGTGCCAGGGACACAATCGGGCTTTCCAGAGGGCCACTGCAGAGGCTGGGGGGGGGGGGGGGGGGAGGCATGCTTCCCTGGCAGGCCTGACCCAACAGTGCAGGATATGTCATCCTGTGGTTCAGGAGGCACCATGGACTGATAATAGCACACTCCTTCACACATGCCCCGCCTATCCCCTGCCACTCACTGTGACCATCAAAAATGTTTCCAAGCCCAGGGAAGCACTGGTACCCGAGGGGAGACATACTGGAAGGGTAGCTGTCCCTGTATGAGCCTGGCTACTGTCTTCTGTTATAAAGGGCCAAGGGCAGGGCCACAGGAAGGGCTGTGTAAAGAGCCCTAAGTCCTCAGTAATAACAGGAGTGACTGAAGAACCCCACCACCACACCCACACTCACCTACCCACACCCACACCTACACACCCATACACACACACACCTACACACCCATACACACACACACCCATACACACACACACACCCCTCCACCTCATACGCACCCAGCCACACACACACACCTCTACCCCATACATACCCACACCCATACCCATACCCACACAGACACCCACACTCACCCACCCACCCCACCCCCACACACACCACTCTCCCTGCACTCCCCCAGGCCTCTACTCACAGCATTTCTTCCACTCCCTTCCAGTCTCCAACTCTGCTGTAAATTCCACAAGTACAGAGGAGGCAAGCACTGACCACAGGCATCTCGATGTCCCCAGGAATAACCCAGATCTCACATTGCGTGCACCTTTGGAGGGCCCCCATCCCATCATACTGCACACACCAGCTGGCAGTGACTGCCTTGCCTCCAGCCTGGATGAGAAGCTGGGATGCCAAAGGCCCATGGCTCCTTCCCAGCCGTGTGCATGCCTGCCCTCTGGCCCCCTGCTCAACAATATGGTGTCGTGGGTTAGGACGGTGGAGTCCGAGCTGGGCTTAAATGCCAGATTCTCCACTGACTGTTTAACATGGCCTCCAGCAGCTGCTTCTTAACCTCTCGAAGACTGGGCTTCTCTAAAAGGAAGATGGCCATTAACACCTGCCTTCAAATGGTGGTTGGGGCGTCTCCAATAAGGAGCGTCAGGAACAAGTGGCTTTTGCACATGCTCCCACTTACAACCCTGTGCCAGTTTCCTTCAGGGGCTCTCCCAGGCCCCATCTGCCCTCCACGCTGTGCCTGTCCACTCCAACGGCACTCACCAATCGAGTCAGTCACACAGAAGCAACACACGCACAAGACCGATTCTGCTGGGGACGGGGTGGGGGGCAAGGAGGAAGCCGGCCAGCGTCAAACCAATTTCTTTTTTTAATGGCTGACTTCGTTGATCACTTCTGAACTCACCAGTAGAAGACTTGTTTGCAAAGTAGAGAAGAGAGCTCTGAGGGTGGGATATGAACAGAACATCTGCTCTTGGCCCGGTTCACGGAACAATCTGGAAGAATAAACTAGGATCATCTCAAGAGAGCTCACCTATCTTCCTACCTCAGTTCTCAGCTTTGTCTAACAGCTCGCTCCTGCTCTCTTTCTCTCCCTCTCCTTTTCCCTTTCCCTTTCCCTCCCTCCTAAGAAGTCTTTTCTGACCCCAGGCAGGAGCTGAGATTCTGGGGCGGGTTGCGTCCTGAGCTCACACAGCAGTACCAGCGGATGCTACCTTCTCTCTGCTGCTGCCTGCCCTCTCTCCCAGGAAGAGGAGCCATCCTGTAACCGGAGCAGGGGTTTTCTGCTTCCCTCCATGGCTGCCGTGAACATTCTCCAAGTCAGCACAGCCCTGTGCATCTGCACCTATAATTTGTCACAACGAAGAAACCTGCTTCCAACAAGATATTAACACTGTGCTTCACTTTTGTGAATACGCAAGCTCATTTTAGAGCTTCCGGGTATTCGATCAGTGCTAAAGTGGAGAAAGAGAGCTAGTGAAGAATGATTTTTTAAAGCTTTTTCCCCCTTTCAAAATACCTATTCTTAAAACATGGATACAAGAACCTAACCTACAGCTCCTGCCTCAGGTAGGGGGCATCTCTGAGATTTATGTGCATTCCCAGAAACAACCAGAGCCTTCCCTTGAACTTGAGGCTGCCTAGCAAGGGAAGGCTGCGGGGGCAAGGCTGGCATTGAGAGGGCCGCTGCCCTGTGCAGACATGGCTTTGAACTGCAGATAATAAAGTGCTCATCGTGTGTGAAAAGCCATTAAGAACCGCCAGCAGGAGCCACCTTGGCCATGCCATCCTCCTGGGTTTATTATTGTCTTTCCCGGCTCTTATCCAAACAGCCTGGACGGTTTGTTTATGGAAGGCTCTGGAGTGGCCCCACAGGCACAGAGGCGATGACAGAATCACAGGGTGTTGTGGCCACACGGGGTCCAGCTAAGAAAATCTCAGGGAAAGCAGCGGGAACAAGCCAGGGATTGGCTTTCAGGCCAAAATAAGCCTGCCTAGAGAAGTGACTGGTTGCTGAGTAGTTGCTCAACCAATACCAGCTGAATGAATAATAAAGCAGCCGTGAGGATCCTCACCAATCAGCGAGAGTTCCCAACAAGAGAGAAGCCAAACTCTTTCCAAAACACACAGCCTACCCCGGATTCTACCTCTTCCCTTCCTCCCAAGAAATCTGTTTTTGTTTCTGAAGTTGAGCACAGGGATTATACTGGGAACTTCTGTTGAGATTTAAGATTTATTTGCTCTCTGGAAGAAAAAAAATGTGGAAAATAAAGAAGAAAATCTTGTAACCTAAAGGGTATTTTATGTTATATATGCATACATGGTTTTCCTTTTATGAAATTCAGAACATGTTGGAGATATGGTTTTGTGACCTACATTTACACACTATGCCCTTTATCAAGCACAGAAATATCCAGAAGCTAAATTTTTCTTCACTTTTTACCAGAAGTAAACCCACATTGCATTCCTGGAGGTGAAGCCTTTTTTTCTGCAACTTACTGGAAATATAAGTTATTAAATAGAGGGAAGAAAGTAAAAATAAATGGCCCCAGCAAGTTAAGATAGGGAAGATGTGGGATTAACAGGAGCAGCCCCAGTAGAACTGGCCCACTTCTTATCTGAGGTGCTTCTCCTCACACCACTGGTGAATTTGCTTTGTCAGTCCCTACCAGATACAGGCTAGCTGTGCAGCCAGCAGGTCTTCCTGTGCCCTGTAGTAGCAGCAGTTCAACTCAAAAGAACAGAGAGAAGGCATATATCAGAGGGGGAGCTGCCTACACTGTCCATTCCTTAAGAAGGGCCATGGCCTCCTCCAAACTCAAGAGAGACACTCCAACATAGCCAGCAGCACAGAGATCTGTCTGCAGCCCCGTGGGCTGTATACAGTCCCTCTGCCTCCAGCCACAGCCAATGGCACATCTTAGCATGTTTTATCTGCCATCCATCCACTTCACTCCCCAATTGGCCACAACGGCTGGAGCTGCACCGATACAAAGCCAGGAAACCAGGAGCTTCTTCTGGGTCTCCCACGTGGGTGTAGGAGCCCAAGGACTTGGGCCATCCCATCCTCCACTGCTTTCCCAGGCCATAGT